GGCTTCCCTTGTCCAGCTTCAGGCCCAGGTGCTGCCTTAGTCAGGGGCGGCTCCAGGCACCAGCGCAGCAAGCGTGTGCCTGGGGCAGCAAGTCGCGGGGGGCGGCGTGCCGGTCACCATGAGGGCAGCAGTCAGGCTGCCTTTGGCGGCATGCCTGCGGGAGATCCGCCGGTCCTGTAGCTTCGGCGGCAATTCGGCGGCGGGTACGCCGAAGGCGCAGGACTGGCAGATCACCCGCAGGCATGCCGCCGAAGGCCGTTGACCAGCGGACCACCCGCAGGCAGGCATGCCGCCGAAGGCCTCCTGACTGCCATGCTTGGGGCAGCAAAAAACATAGAGCCGCCCCTGACCTCAGTCTCCCTTTTTAAAGCTTTCCCTCCAGGCTCACAATCCTTTACAATCCTTAGCTGGGGCTTCTACCCAGGAGGTTCCTGGTTCCTGCATGCCCCTCGCTGAGACTTAGTTCTCAACAGGTTCCTGCCCCACCAGATCCTTTTGCCTAGGAGCTCTGGACAATTGTTATCTTCCCTCTACCTCGTAAGCTCCCTTCCCAAACTCTCCCTGGGTCAACTCAGGCTGTCTTTATAGTCCCTCAAAAGCCTATTTTCTACTCACAGGTTCGTCCTTGTCACGTGATTGCTGCTGTCATTTCCTTTACCTGAGGGGGAAGGATAAGCCTGGTACAAGTGAAACTCAGCCCCAACCCCGTTAGAGGGCCAGCTCCCCAGTGACAACACCTTTTAATTTAATCAAATGACCCCTTGTTCTTGTGTTATGAGATAGAGAACTTTATTTTCTCTATCTGCCTTGTCTACGCCAGTCATTACGTTACATGCTTTATCCTGAGAGGGACAAGCTTCCACAGAGCTCTTCTTCAGGTCTGGGAAAGTGTGACAGCTAAATAGAAGGATGGAACTGATAAGGAGTTAACATGTTGCAAGAGTGTGGGCAGTTAACACCTTTATAGTGGCAGGACAGAAGAGCGTTAGTGGGTCAAAAATTTCTGTAATGATCCATAAAACCAGTGTCTTTATTAAATCCATGATTTTTAGGGTACAGCTACACTAGAGAGCTTACAACGGCACTAATGCGCCACTGTAAGCTCTCTAATGTAGCCAGTCTAAGCTGACGGGAGAGCTCTCTCCCATTGGCTTAACTACTCCAGCCCCCGTGAGTGGGAGAAGTTATGTCAGTGGGAGAAGCTCTTCTGCCACCATAACACTGTCCACAGCCAGACTTATGTCGGTGTAACTCATGTCGCAACATAAGTTTTACCGACATAAGCTGTAGTATAGACATAGCCTTAGTGTCTTGCAGCATCATGAATTTAAGCCCATAGGTTTGTTTTTTGAAGGTGTCAGGGAGGTTTCCTTTGAGGATGAGGACTGAGGTGTCAGATATAGAGTTGTCATTTTGTACCTCTATCTAGATATTATTGTGAGTGCCTGCTTTGTCACAGCTGTAGAGTCCATACTTGAATGGCCTGCTAATAAATAAAAAGTAATAAAAACCACGAGTTAGCTAAACAGTTTGGCAGAGCCAAGCAGCAGTCTGAATGCTAATGGAAGGGAGCTGGGTTCAGCATGAAGTCACTTCAGGTCTCTTTCTCCCAAGGCCCGGAGGAAATATTTCTCACACATACACATGAAAGATCACCAGTATTTACAGGAGTCTGCAAAAACATTCATTTACATAAACCTTGCAATGTGAGATTCACTGAGAACCAAACGGCCATGCAAATACCTGCATGCCATTAGGCACCGCAGCAAGCAGTCTACTGAATGAAATGCTTACTGTGGATCATGAAGTATCTATCTGTAACTTTGGGCAAGAACCAGAAAGTTTGGGTTCTGTGTACATTGGGCAGCTGGTTGAATAGCTCTGGCCAAATAATTAAAGAAGTTTTATTTTAATACATGAATCCACTGATTAATTGAATGATGGGAAAGAGCAGTAGGAAGAAGCCTTTCCTTTTGCACTTTGAGGCGTCTCCCCCAAATTTTTCAAAACTGAATCCCACTTATGGAAAATGCAACTAATCACAATCTCACCACATCCAGCTACCCAAAGTGAGCAGTCAACTCACAGCACGTTGTGTAGATCTTCATAATAGGATACTTTCTCCCAGGTTTGTAGTTAACCATACTGACATTGAAAGGATCATCACTGGCATATGGGTTAGCACCTATTGAAATGATTGGGGTGGTTCACGCCTCAGAGCTATTAGTTCAGGCTCTGTGCAAATTCAGGGTGATATTGCTGCATCAGTTCCATTTGAGTCATGTCTTTTAGGTTTTCTTCACAACCATAACAACTGGAGACATACTTTTCTTTTAATGAGATCTGAGACACTGGAGAACAATTGAAGTCTCTATCTGCACCTTCCCTGGCTAACCTTTCATGCCACCCCAAGGGGGGATGTTCCAGAGTGTGTCTTAAAATGTCTAAGTGAGTTTCCCAACAGAAAGTTCTTCTCTGAAGGCCTCTGTTCATTGCCATGTGGGGGTGTCAAGTTCAGGAAACTTACCAATTTGGTTTCTGTCAGAGTTGCACTCTAGCGACATTGACGTCTGAGTCAATTTAAGGGAGGCTACTACCTGAAAGCCTATGTTCCTCCTCCTTCACAGTGAAAAGCATAGAAACACGCTGCCACAGTGGGTTTGCTTAGTAGGCCAGCTGAATCCTCTTCATTTTACTAATTTACTTTTATTTTACTTCAGTTTAATTTAGCCAAATTCATTTCCAAAAAGCTCTCCTCAAGCTGCAAGCCCAAAATGGGGGTTAAGAGATGCACCACTTGACCAGCAATGTAGCCTCAGTCCAGCGCACACAGTGGATGTTTGATGTGCCTAGGGGAGGCTTATATGTCCTTGTGATGCTCACTTTGTTGGGTGTTCACCCCTACAGCATCAGCCACTGGGGCTACGGGCCAGTCTTTTCGTGGCTATGTCTACACAGAAAAAGCTGTATGCCACCTAGCCTACCTGCATCAGCTTGAATCCAGTTAGCACAAGTAACAAGAGCAGCGAAGGCAGCACAACGCAGGTGTAATGGTCCTCACTTGGGTCTGGTTGGGGAGCATGGCCTAGTGGTCTTTGCCACAACCCCTGACTGCCAAGAGGGTTGAGGGGAGGGGAGCCCAGGCCCTCCCACTCCACCAGGCTCCAACCCAGGACCCTTTGGGCTACCAGTCGTTTGGCAACCAAGGCTGCTTGAGGCTGTCTCCTCCCTCTCCTCCAGGGTCAGCTCAGTCCAAGGCCTTCCCCTAGTGAGGAAAGCCAAACCAAAAGAAGTAAGAGGGAGTTACCAATGTCCAAGGTCACAGGATACTTCCCTCTCTGGTTGTCTCTGGGGTGAGTCCTCCCTTCGCACAGGGAGGGCCCCTTTGGGCAGTTATGTCAGAGCCCTTAGGCTTCCCTCGGCTCGGCTCTGCTGGAGCTGTGGGCTGCAGGTCTGCTCCCCTCGAGCTCTGAGCAAATGAACTGAGCAAACTGCACCCTCTGCTGAATTGATCCCTACAGTATATTGTAATGAACTGACTAGTGTGTATGTGCCCCTTTGGTCTCTAATGGAATCAGAACCACTCGACTATGTATCATTAGGGTGACCAGACATCCTGTTTTTAAAGGGACAGTCCCATATTTAAGCCCCCCTGCAGGTGTCCCAACTTTTTCTTAAAAATGGGCAAATTGTCCCGTATTTTCTATCTCCCCCACCATCAGTACTGGCCGGATTCCTGCTTGCCAGCCGCTCGCCCACCAACCAATGATAGGGCTGGTGGTGGAGCAAAGATGCAGCATGCTGGGCTGGCTGCTCGTCCTGCTGGTCCGTCAGCACAGCCCCTGCTGTGTGCCGGCTCTCGGCCAACAGAGCCCTGCCCTGTTTCTGGCCGGCACTGGCTGTGCACTGTGAGCTGCGGTGGTTGGTGAGTGTGGGCGGGCAGCGACTGGTTATGTGTCACCTCTGCTGCCCAGTACTGGGCAGGCGGGCGGCGCTCCTTGAGCCCGCCCCCCCCCCAGTGTGGTCCCAGCACTGGGAGGATGGGTGGCACGGTGTGGTGTGGTCTTGCGCACCATGGTGCCCAGCCTGCCTGCCCCAGCCTCTCAGCCACTGAAGGGAGCAGCAGGCAGGAGGGGGCCTGGTGGAGCATGGACAGGGCCACACTAGGCTGTTTGGGGACTTTCACATTTTTGAAAAATTCCAACTCGTCTAGGAGCTGGTTTAAAAAAAAAAAGAAGAGAGAGAGAGAAATTTGGGAAAAGGTTTGAAAACATTTTGTGCAAAGTTTTCATTGAAATTTCAAAAATTCACAACCAACCTACAGTTGTCACAAACTTCTGTTTACTACCAAGAGGAATTAACTTGTATGCACACCACACGTCACTGCTAGATGAACCCTAGCAAACTCCTACCATAAAGCAACATTCACTTAGGATCCCCTCACCTCTGCTTTTTGCCACAGAGAGTATGAAAAGAATGGAAGACTTGCTTCGTTGGCCAAAATTCTGTCCAGGGGGATGACAGAGTGGGGCGAGGAAGAACAGTGAGCCCATACTTCTTAGCCATATTTCTTCTCCCATACCCAACCCTGTGGCAATCCCTCTGTGTGAACCACATCACTATTCTCCAGCCAGCCCTCAGGAATTTTCCTGTTTCCTCTACAGTCTCAAACCCAGATTGAGGTCGGGTTACAAGGTGGCCAGGGTGCAGCTAGGGAAATTGTACTAACAAGGGAACATTGAGGTCCCAGAATATAGTAGGAAGGTGCTAGTTCTCTGTGCATGTGCCCCGAGATCAGCAAGAAAATCCAATAGATTTAGGGGCAGCTGCACAGTGGTTATACAATAGATTTGGAAGTTTACAACACTAGTTCTACCACAATATACATAAACCGCTGCTTGTGATACTGCTGGATCCATTCATTAAACTACAGCTTTAGAAAACTTAAGAGACATGAATCGATACAAAAGCTACAGAACTTAAAGCATCTAGCAAAAGCATTAGGATTGCAATGCTGCACTGTTTAATTCACATCGTCTCCAAGGTTTTCATGAGTACAAAGCAATATTATACAGTTCAGTGGAGCCAACCTATGCAGTTTTATTAAGGAATCATTCATTGCTTTGATCCTATATGAAAGACAGCTATATATTTGCAGACCGGAATATTCTGCTGGTGAGGAATATTTTCTCTTGGCAGGAACCCAAGCATCAAAATGTAGGTTTTTGCAGCTGTGGTGAGTAATCTGTCAGCAGGGAAACCATGACAGCCTAGAGGGGAGGGGAAAAAAACCCAGTCATATTGGAAACAGACACTGCAAACCAAATAAACAGAGAAAGATATTTTTGAGTTCCAAGGCTTTGTGCTGAAAACAATTTTTCCCAGCAGAAACTGCATGCTTAGATTTATTTTCTAGAATTTCCAATGGCGAAACATCAAATAGTTTAAAAATTAGAGTGTTCTGTTTGTATTCAATAGGTTTCCTCTGTGCACACCATACATGAATGCACAGTAGTGGAGGAGTTCAGAAAAACAATGCTAGAAACAATATCAATACTGGACCAAATCCTGAAGTTTTAACTGAATTCTGTCTGCAGTTACTCCTGATCTGTGCTTGTGTTTATGGGACCAAAATTTGACCCTCAATGAAGATATGAGCAAAATTTCCATTGACATCAATAGGAGTTTTACTTGAATAAGGACCTCAAGATTTGACCCAGTTTAACCACAGTTGTTGTTGTCCCATAAAATAGAAAACCCTGGCTTTATTGTGTGTCATGCAACTTCCTTGTGTTTCATACTTTCTGACAATCTTTAGGTATATCAACCGTAGAATGAGAGTATTGGAAAGTGACAATCAGAGAGAAGTAAGATTGTATCTAATCGGATTTGTTTTTCTCTACGTGTTTGTATACACAGATGCTGCACTTCTGTTCTTTATCTATTTTTGTCCAGGTATTACTCTAGTTTATATTGCCACTAATTTACAGTAATATTTGATTGGAAAGGTGTGCTTAGAACAAATGCAAGTTCCTCTGAGAGTGCTGGTGACTCCATTTCTGTTTTCTCACTTGGGGGAGGTCGATGTTTGTCAGCATGACTGTTCTAAAACCTACAGTAAATAGTAGTTGTGAAAAATATGACACTGGTAGGAATATTGAGGATGGAGTTACAATTTGGGTTTAATGCTGAATATATTCTTGTAGCTCGTATGGTACACTTAGTGTTATACAGGGCCATAGCCCAATATGTAAGTAGAGAGCACATACTTTTACTCCAAAGGCTTCATTTTGCAATCTTTCTTCCAGCAAAATTCCCACTACCTTCTGTGGCAGCTCTGATAGCCATCTCTGATGGCATCTGCTATAAACATTTTTAAAAATTGTAGCCTCTATAGCACCATTCTTGGGATTGGTATTTGGAGTGTTTGAAAGAGGTGTATCTAAGGGATTGTCAACACTCTTGAGGTTATAGCAGCATAGCTACGGTGCCAGTGCCGTAACCCTACAGTGTAGGCACACACTACAGTGACAGAAGGGTTCTTCCATTGCAGTAGTAACTACACCTACCTCCTCAAGCGATGGTAGCTAGGTCAATGGAAGAATGCTTCCACTGACCTACCAGCATCTGCACTGGGAGTTTAGATCAGTGTAGCTGCAGCACTCAGGGGTGTGGATTTTTCACACCCGAGTGCCAAAGGTGCGTCAACCTAAGTTTTACGTGTAGACAAGGCTCAAGCTAATTGCTAGTGTAACTCAATGACTTCCATATAATAAATTGCAGTTAAAAGAGTAGATTTCACTTGATTAAAACAATCTGGGTCAAGCAAGAGTAGATTAAGGTACAAGCAGGAAAGAGTTGACATTTGATGCACTTAAAACCATGACATAGTAGGGTGGGGTTTTGAAACATTTATATTAAGGCATGTGCTTTACTGAGGAGTCATGCTAAATCCAAATCTGGATTGAAGGGTAGAACGATCGTCAAGTACTGCCTAACCCCAAACGATCGTCAAGTACTGCCTAACCTGGGCGGCAGGTATCGTAGGCAGGGATAGGTTGTGCCTCCCCAAACAGCCTAGCATGGCCCCGCCCACGCTCCACCCGCAGGCCAGGTCCCCTCTCTGTGGTTCCCAGAGCCCTGGCTGGCCCAGGCTGGCTAGCCTGCCTCTTGTAGGGACTCAGAGTGGCTGGTGCTGTGGCTGGGCCGCTCGGCACACTGGGGCTGGGGGCGCTGCCACTCAGTGCACCAGGACTGGCTGTGCTGCCGCCTGGAGCACTGGGGCTGGGGCCTTGCCGCCCAGCTGCCTGGAGTTGGGGCCGGGGTCCACGGTGGGGGGTGCTCTGAGCTCCTTCAGGGGAGGGGGGCAGAAGGGGAGAAGAGAGGTGGGGCCTTGGGCACAAGGGGAGGGGCTGGGGACTAGCCTCCTCCAATGGCTGGGTCACCAGCCGCCCACGCCCAAACTGTTCTTATTTGCTTTTCATACCATAATTGTCCATTTTCTGTTTTCAGCCTCCTGGAAAGCTAGTGATCGTGGAGAATAAAATACTTCATCATTAACTTCTTCTGGCTTTCTTGGTAAACAGTGTAAAAAGGTCCAGTCAGAGGCCGCATGTTTTCCAGTCTAAAGATAAAAAAGCATGAAAAAGTTGAGTGATGTGATGGTCCATTAGCAAGATCTTTAAGTGGTGAGAAACTGGTCTGGGCCAGATTCTGATCCCATTTACATTTGGTGTGAACCCCAAGTAATTCCACTGACGTCAGCAGAGTTAGTCCACATGGATACCAGTGCAAATAAGATAAGAATCCAGGGTGAAATCCTGGGCCCATTCAAGTAAATTGGAATTTTACCACTGATTTCAGTGGGGCCAAGATTTCACCCCTAGACTTTTGTCTTTGAAAGGAGAGTATGAATTGTGGTGAAGCAGCAGGTCAATCAATAAGTACACTCTGGACAGTAACACCACATGCCAACAAAATATATGGATAATGGCAATAACTGCATATTAAGACATGCGTAAAAAGGCCTTGGTCAATTCTTTTGATATGAGTAACTCATAATACGTCAATCTAATAGATGAACAATGGATTATAGCATTTTAAGCAAGTTGAGCCATGTCTTCTACTAGCATTCTGGGGACCTAGAGTTAAAATATGGTCAGTTAGATCACTGATTCTAATAGAAACTAAAATGTCATTATTTATATTCCAATCATTAATATTCTGTTTCCATTTTCTCTAGCAGTGGTTACTCTGATAAATATTTCAGCTAAATGGGTTTTTAAAAATATTTATTTAAAGCTTTGCCCGTTTACAGATACATGCAAATCTGCCCAAAATGGTGCCCTGGCCGTGCTCTCTATGAATTGCAATATGAGCATTATTGTGACTTAGCCTGAGAAACATTCAAAAGATCTTCTCTTGCAGTGTGGATATAATAAGGTGGGGTGGGCTGGGAGGAACAAACAGTTAAATACAGAGTCCTTGAGAAGGGGAGAAGCAAAGCCTTCCCTCTGTTTGTGCCCCAGATTTGTGTGTCCAGTAAGGGCCCATCCAGAAAGGCCAGACTGAAGGAGAAAGTTTGGCAGGGGAAGCCTCAGGTAACTCAGACAGCAATTATGTTGGTTAGGGGGCTTTGCGTTGGTGTGAAGGGTACACCAATACCCGTGACCCTTCCTCATAAGAGCTATCAAATGAATGCTTTGACGATGTTGATCTTTAAAAATGGAATCTACAGAAGTGGACCAGAACAAATAAACTCAATACTGCCAACCTCAAGAGATCAAAAATCATGAGTCTGACACCTCCCCTGCTGCCCCCAAAAATCAGGAGATATTTTTAAAAAAAGATTATATTGTGGTTTTTTGGTCTGTCTTTTGATTTTTTGAACAACCCCCTGCACATCCCCAGTGTGTTTGTGCATGGCAACTAGTGTTGTCCACTCTCCCAGATGTATTGAGTAAGATGATTCTGGCTTCTGCTGCAGGAACTCTCACTCCTAATCTGCCCACCCTCTGCCCAGCAATTAATCCTGTCCCCTTCACCTCTCAGTTTTGCCCTCACCCAGGTCCCACCCCATCAGCCTCCACCCCCCTCAGTCCAGCCCACCCCGCCCCCCAGCCTCATCTCTGCTTCTCCTGGTGTTCTTCATTCCTTTCTCACAGACCTGCGGGGGGTAGGGGTGGGGAAGGGGCATCTTCCCTTACCAGGCTGGAGGGGGCAGCTCCAGGGGCTCTTCACCCCCCTCTGCCCTTTCCTAGGCCAGGTACTGTGGGGGGAGGAGTAGAGGCACAGTCCTGTCTGTGTTTCTTATGGGAGGAGGGAGCAGAGCTTCCCTGAGCTGCTGGGCACTTTGCGCTCCCCTTCCCTCCCCCGTGAGAACAGCAAATGAAGGGGAAGAGACTCAGCCAGCTTCTGGCAGGGCTGAACTTTACAATGGGGGGAGGAGCTTCTTGCATCATTGCAAGACCAGCTCCAAAGCCCTCTGAAATCCCATCACTCACAAAGCATTCACAAGAGCTGGAAATTGACCTTTACCTGCATTGTGATCTGGTAACCTTGGAAAGCCTTCAATCGCTTTGCCTTCTCCTCTTCTTGTCCCATGCTTATCCATGTGTCTGTAACTAGGACATTGGCTCCACTTGCAGCTTCCAAGGGATCAGTCGTGAAAAACAATTTGGTGCTATACTAAGGTACAGTAAGGCAAGGGAGGTCAAACAACTTCATTCAAAACATAAAGTAAACCATATTTAACATATTGGCTCATACCTCTTTGGAGTACTCTTCAGCTACTTTAACGATGTTGGGGTCCGGTTCAAAGCCCTGTCAAAAAGAGGATAACATTACAATGCACATTTACATTATTATTTTATTGAGCTAGGGTTACCATACGTCCGTTTTTTCCCGGACATGTCCGGCTTTTCGGCAATCAAACCCCCG